GGCTTTGGGCTTTGGGGTTTAGGGGTTTAGGGGTTTAGGGTTTAGGGCTCAGGGTTCAGGGTTTAGGGCTTAGGGCTTTGGGTTTAGGGTTTTAGGGTTTAGGGCTTTGGGTTTTTGGGTTTAAGGGCTTTGGGTCAGAGAATCAATATTGTCAGTAGGGTATCAGGATACAACATGATACTCTAGTATCCCCAAAACCCTGTTCGAATAATTAAGGCCACCCACGTCAATATTTGTCCTTAGGGTCTTGGGGTTCCTGAATATCATGACGGCTGGAGAGACTTGCCGGCTAAATAAACCCTTTACTAAACCCCTAAACCCTAAACCCCTAAAGCCCTAGACCCTATACCCGAAACCCTAAAACCCTAACCCTTACACCCCTAAGCCCTAAACCCTACCCTAAGCCCTGGACCCTCCAAAGCATCGTTAGACTAAACTCCGAAGGGGATGATGCCTGAAACCCTGGATCCTAGATCCATACAAGATCTACAGAAAACCCCTATGACAACCCAAAACGCTGCGTTCTAAGGCCCTAAACCCTAAACCCTAAACCCTATACCCAAAACCCTGAACCCTTAAATTAAATCCCTAAAGACCAGCAAGATCTTTCAGACCCGGTACCCTAAACCCGAAATCCTAAGGAGAAGATCCTCGGAACCCTGAATCCTTACAAGGCATCCTTGGACCAACTCTGAAAGAAAGAGACACTCTAAACTGGGTTGTCTTTTGGGATCTTTTTTGCTTTCCCTTACTATTTTGTAGAGAACCATAATAGTAAATAATTTTCAAAGGCCTTAAAGGACAACTTAGTAAATCCCCAAAGTCCAGAAAGATCTTCAGACAAAAACACATCTCAAGGAGAAGATTTTTTCGGAACCCGGAATGCTACAGTGCATCCTTGGTTTAGGGTTTTAGGGTTTAGGGCTGAGCCCGAAACTTTTCTAGATACCTAAAGGATCTTCCGAAAGTTGTTCGAAGGAGAAGGCCCTCCAAACCCTAAAAACCCTGCAAGCCTAAGCCCTAAACCCTAAACCTAAAACCCTCAAAGCCCGACTTCCCTCTAAAAAGGAAATCCCCAAATCCTAAAACGATCGAAACACCCTAAAACTCCCTGAACACCCTGAATCCCTAAATGGGTAGTTTTCTAACTTAGGGTCCCTTTTTAGGGTCCTGATTATAAGGGTGCCGTACGTAAAATATTGGGGACCTAAAAGAAGCCCTACTTGTAGAGAACTACCCTAATCGTCCGAAGGAGAAGATTCTCTCCTCGCCCTGCAACTCCTTTCCGGCAGTGGGCCACGTCAGAGGCCGTCGTGAGTTTAGGGTTTAGGGTTTCGGAGTTTAGGGTTTAGGGTTTAGGGAAGCTCCTGTAGAGGGTCCTGCAAGGGTTTCCATAGGGACCAGGTTGAGGGTTCCAAAAGGCTTAGTTCCCCCAATACCCAACCTTTAAACTTTTTTGTGTTCTTGTAATTTGGTAGTAATCTGAAAGTTTAACATTTTGTTTCCCTGATTCAATTTTTTAGGTTATTAGACCCTAAACCCTAAACCCTAAACCGTGATTTGGCTTAGCCTGATTCATGCTTTCTGCGCCCGGGACCCGGTTGGGGGCGGAGGCAGGTCAGGCGTTTTCTTTGCATTGGCTTAGAGGGATTTGAAGTTGGGGTTTGACAGTACTGGGCTATGGAGTACCATACTTTAATACGTGTTTTTGGGACCTTTTCCTTAAAGGAACCACTATGAAATGAAAGTCTATACTTTTTTCTCCCTGGTCACTTCACAGCCCAGAATATGTTTGTTTTTCGGTGCACCTGCCGCCCCACAACAACGGCATCACGGTGAACCCTAAACCCCCACACCCACTACCCTAGACTCTCCACCCCGAGACCCTCATCCCCCAAACCCTGAAGCCCCAAACCCAGAACTTTGTAGGGTTCAGGGTCTACCTGTAGTCTCCATTGTAGTTCCTTTTTTTGGTTTAACCAGTTATATATTAAGGATTTTATGCAGTATCCCCAAAAAGGAACTGCAATGGAGACTATAGGTAGGGTTTAGATGGAGACTATAGGTAGGGTTTAGGGTAGCCTTGAAGCTCAAGGCTTAACCCTAAACCCTAAACCCTAAACCCCTAAACACCTAAACCCTAAACCCTAAACCAAAACCCTAAACCCGCGAGGTTCTGATCGCCTCGCAGCTGTGTTTCTGCCCGGCCCGTTTGACGGCACACCAAATGTCGAGGCATGGTTCAGGCTTTCAAGTTTAGCTTCGGGCTTTGGGGAAGTTTGGGGATTAGTGGATTAGGGTTTAGGGTTTAGGGTTTAGCGTTTAGGGTTCAGGCTTAGGGTTTAAAGTTTCTTTTAATCTGGGTTTAGGGCTTAGGGTTTAAAGTTTCTTTTAATCCGGGTTTAGGTTTTAGGGGTTTAGGGTTTCCTTTTATCTGCGTTTAGGGTTTAGGGGTTTAGGGGTTTAGGGTTTCTTTTTTTCTGGGTTTAGGGTTTAGCTTTGGGCTTTGGGAAGTTTGGGGATTAAGGTTGTGGTTTAAGGTCTAGGGTTTGGGGTTTAGGGTTTAGGGTTTAGGGTTCAGGGTTCAGGGTTTAGGGTTGGGTTCAGGAGGATGTGCTGAGGGCTCGGGGTTTACAAGTATCTAGGTCGCCAGTACGATACTTTCGCCCTTTTGTTTGGGGCTTCCCTGACTGAGTCCTCGACCCACTTTAGGGTTTAGGGTTTTAGGGTTCAAGGTTTAGGGTTTTAGGGTTTAGGCTTTAGGGCTTTAGGGCTTTAGGGTTCAGGGTTCAGGGCAAAAAAAGGCAGAGGGCGCCCTTGTTAATATAGAAGCTTGAATAATTACCAATCGAAATCCTATGGGGTTCCATTCTTATGAACTCACCAGAATCTCAGAATAGACCCCTCCAAAGTCCTTCCAGTTTAAAGTCTTCTGCATCGTCGTCACCGGTATGCTCAGGCAGCACCTTGATTCTTGACCCTTGTCGAGGCCTCCGCAGGGAGCGCCCGGCCTGCTCCAGATTTTCCAGGAGCAGGTGAAGAAGGACAGACCATTTTGGAAGTCAGATCTCTGGTTTGCACAAGGACGCCGCGAGCCTCGCCCAGCGCGGGCTGCGCATCCATGAGGTTGAGGGCGATGGGGCCTGCCTCTTCCGCCGGTCGCCAGCTTGGCTTTCACGGGCACCGCGAATTGAACAGTCTCAGCCGCCGGTTCTGTCGTAAGGTTCGAGATCCGCTGACATACGAACAAAGAGACGCGTGGCTTACGGGTCCATATTCAAACTCGCAACCCTAAGGAACCTGCCTTATTAAGGGCTTCTTCTTCTGATTCCGTTAAATAGAAAACCTTGAAAAGGTTAGGTTATTTGGGGTTAAGGTCGCGATTGGGAAGGATATGGGCTCTGCATGTCACCTTTGAGGGCTTCAGGGTTTTAGCGTTTGGGGTTTTAGGGTGTAGGGCTTAGGGCTTTGGGGTTTTAAGGTTTCGGGGTTTTATGGTTTAGGGGTTTTAGGGGTTTTAGGGCTTTAGGGTTTTAGGGTTTAGGGCGTGGATATCGGCGGGGAGCTGGTCTACCTTTTCCGAACAAATCAGGGTGCCTTGCGACAGGTCCATACTCGTGGTTGAGGGTTTAGGGTTTAGGGTTTAGGGTTTTGAATATTCCGCAATTCCAGGTGTTGTCGTAGATCCCAACACCCCTGAAAACCCTAGGCCCCAAACCCTAAACCCAAAACCTTGAGCCCTAAACCTTGAACCCGAAACGAGGGCAGCGTCTTGGCCTTGGATGCTGAGACGGGAGAGGACGGCCCAGCACACACCACGAGATCTATGTTCCGTAGATGCGGGTTGTCTTGTTTTAGGTTGTTTCAGGGCTTAGGGCTTATTTTGGGTCTAGCATTTAGGATTTGGCATGCAGGGTTTTATATACCCAAAACCATTCAGAGCACTGTATCTGCTCGGAATTAAATCCCTGCGATCTGGGGTATTGGGATGCCTGGGGACATTTCTGCGTGCAAGGGTATCTGCATATGAAATGAATAATATGTATTCATATATATGTATATGAACATTCACGTGTATATATATATATATATGTGTGTGTGTGTGTGCGTGTATGTAAATCTGTATCTGTATGTATATATATATATATAGATATGTAGATACAAATTTCATCTTCAGCCTAACAAGAGGGGTATTTCTGCTTCGCGTATTCTCGGCATCGATTCCCCAAGCCTTAACCCTAAACCCTAAACGCCCCAAGAGACGCTGATGTCTGCCCCGGACTTTGCGAGGAGATTTGGAAGAATCTCGTCTGCAACTTGTGAGCATCAGATTGGAGGCTTAGGGTGTAGGGGTTTTAGGGGTTTTAGGGGTTTAGGGGTTTAGGGTTTAGGGTTCAAAGTTTAGGGTTAATGAGTTCTAACAGGTCTTCCTTCGGGTTGATGGTTACCAGTATTACTATGATTGTCATTGTTATGGTAAGTAGTATGGCTATGTTTATTATTAAGACTATTACCATTACCGTCATTCGATAACTCTGTCATACTATAGCCCGCCCCAAAACTCTATCTTATTTTCTGGAGCCCCTACTGTAGGGGCCTTAATAGTACGGAACTCCCCATAATAATGATAGCAATTATTTAGGCCCCTTACTATCTAATCTCAACACCCTAAAGCCTAAACCCAAAGCCCTGAGCCCTAAACCCTAAACCCTAAACCCAAAGCCTTGAAGCCTGTTTCAACCGTATTTGGGCCACCATAGTACTTTAGGAATGTCGACCCGAGACCCCTGAACCCATCAGCCCTAAACCCTAAACCCTAAACCCTAAACCCTAAACCCTAAACCCTAAACCCTAAATGTCGGTCTTAGGGCGTCAGTCTTGCAAGCTCTGGGGTTGTGTCTTCGGGTTCAAGGAACTTAGGAAGTACTCTAGGTGCCTGAATATTTTTGGGTTTAGGGTTTAGGGTTTAGGGTTTAGGGTTTAGGGAACTATTTTGGTGGTTCCTTACTATAGTTATAGTATAATATACCTTAAAACCATATTCTAATTATTACGGCCCCTACATTACAATGATAGCTATTTTTGGCTTGCACTCTCACTGTTACCTTATTGTTACTGTGACTATGGCATTACGTACCCCTAGTAACCTCCTAACCTAAACCCCCCATCCAGATGCCAGGTTAGAGGTTTGAGGTTTCTGCCAGGAGGATACCTCTCCGCGCGTCTGATACCTCTCCGCGCGTCTGATACCTCCCCC